GGCTTAAGGGCCTCCGCTAAGCGCCATCTTGTTTCAGCCGAGAGATGTTCATTTCATAACGGTCGGCGTGTTACTGAGAGCGCACGTGCAATTCGAAGCCCATAGCCATTATGCTTTGCGGCCTGCTGACCAACCTCATCTAATGCAACATTTGCATTTACATTTGTGATATATATGTCTATATGTGACATGAGAGGGATAATTGAGCCCAGAATTCTTGTTATTCATTGACTTAAACAATTTTATCAATTCAATTTTCATCTTTCAATAAAAAAATACAGTGGGCAACATGTATTCCACTTTCTCATAGAAATATTTATATTATATATACACCAATAACTGCAAAAAATGTAAATTAATTTCTATTATAAATTCAATCATTTTTGATATAGATAATGTTCTGTAAATAAATGCAAGTACCAATTATAGGAGACAACAATTATTATATATAGGAATTTTAATAACCACCATTATCAGAGCAGTGGGAGGTGTATTGTATTGATATATGATACCAAGGAAGTGGGTAATGAAGCCCATTTTAGCTACAGATGACAAAACAACCATTTGCATCAATTTCTTAAAGCACTTGAAGCCAGTAATTCAGAATCAACATGCAAGATTGAACAGGCTCCCAGCACGTCATAAATTTGGGTACATCATTTGAGGCTACATGGTACATCAGTACATGGATATAATGCGCTACTGTAGCAAGTGTCAAAACAGGTACCGTACATTCAAAACTGAATATCTTGAAAATGGTGTGGGGTCGCAAGGGGTCGATACAGCCGATTTTTAGTTTACATACTAGCATTTATTCCTGCGAAGAATTTCAAAAATCGAACCACAGGAATTTGAGATTTTCAACTTTAAAAAATGTAAACAAATGCGCATATGAATCAGCACATCGAAACGACACCGGTGACCAACTTCGGTTGCTATTGTAATATACGCTACTAAACCAACCACAGTATTAACAACAGACCTCTTTATTATTACAATATCTCACTGCTCACACACATGATTTTTTATATCGCGTGTCTCATATTACACCTAATCATATTCCTTGCCAATCATACCCCTGTCACCTAACCCCTACTAATTATACCCCCGATTACATATATTACACCACCCTTTCCCCTCGCCGTAAGGGGCAGTCGACCCAAGATATCCATCGCCCATTATTCCATTGGGTGACCCACTTCTATACTCCTCATAGGTGATTTTCGCCGTATGACTGGGGACTTGCGGCGCTCGCACATTTCACACTCCGCGATCCACAGTTGCACTTCTGAGGCCATTCCGGGCCAGTAGTAGCGTACTTGCAGGCGCTCGACGCAACGATTAACCCCCATATGTCCGGAGCTCGGATCCTTGTGGGAAAGCTTTAAAGGTCGGGGCGCATTTTAAGTGGACCACCAATACCGACTGCTCTGTGGGAGTTCCCTCGTCTACCCGACGATGCAGGATACCGTCCCTCAGCTCCAGTTGCGCCCATAACTGCTTGTAGCGACGTCGTTATCGTGTTACAGGGGTGGGTGACCCTCGAGGAGACCTTGAAAGAGTATCGGCGTTATCGTGTTGTTTAGTGTTTACCCGGTCGATACTTGATTTCAAACTCGTATTCCTGCAGGGCGAGTATCCATCGGGCAAGACGGCCCTTAGGTTCCTTCAGCCCCTGCAGCCACGTCAAACATTGGTGATCTGTTACAATCTCGAACGGCTACCGAGCAAATACGGCCGCCAACAATGCCGGCTGACAAGACAGCACCGAGTCCCTAATCGCTAGCGTCCGTGCATACAACGAATGGAGCTGAGAAATCTGGCAGAGACAGTATTGGTGTTGTACACAAACGGCTCTTTAGCTCATTGAACGACCTGTCCGCCGATGGCGTCCAGTTGAATTCTGCTTGGCTACCTTTGGTCAAGTCATGCAAGGGCTTGGCGATGTCTGCGAAATTCTTTATAAACCTTCGATAGTAGGATGCCATGCCGATGAATGCCCGAACCTCGGTAAGGGAAGGCGGAGTTGTAAAGTCTCGCACCGCTTTAACCTTCGATGAGTCAGGCTCGGTCCCTCGCACCGATACGATGTGACCAAGGAATTTGACTGATTCTTGGGGGCGAACTGCCACTTCTCCCGTTTGATTTTCAACCTGCCGCGCGAATACGACCAAATACGTGATTTAAAATTAGCTGGTGCTCCTCCCATGTCTCGGAAAAAATGATTATGTCATCAATGAAGACAAGACCTGCCTCAAGGGTACCTGCCAATACTCGGAGGCGAGATCTAGAGTACTGAAATGACGAGCACCCCCCAACTGGTCTAGGATGTCGATACGGGGCATTGGTTGCGCATCCCTCTTGGTTACCGAATTAACACGCTGAAAGTCAACACAAAATCGATAATCACCGTTTTTCTTTGGTGCTAACACGATTGGTGAGGCCCAAGGACTGTTGCTAGGTTGAATTAGTCCTCTTTCTAACATATCAGCTACCTGCTTGTTCACGACTTTGTTCAAATAAACGGGGATCCGATAAGGCCTTTGCTTCACCGGGCGACTATCCCCCGTATCAATCGCGTGTTCCGCCGGGTTGGTTAGACCTAATGGATCACTCGGTCCGTTCACAAAAATGTCCGAATAACTTTCGATCAGAACGCTTAGTTTATTCACCGTTGGTGGCGTTGTCTCGACCATTCACTCTGTTTCCCCCGTTCTTCACGAAAGCTTCGAGCCCGCTATGTTTACGACCATCTCCCCGACTTTAAGAAATCGGCACGCGATTGAACTTGCAGGTCCGTTGATCCCGAAACCTGCAGGTCTTCCTCACCGATCCCTCTTGCCCTCAAGGAACATGGCTTTAACGACACTGTTGAACCTGTGTCCACTAAACACTTTCGTTCATGTTCGCCTAATCGCGCCTTTATGAAGACCGCTGTAGGCTCGACGCAATGTACTGGCAAGGCCGCGTTGTACTGGGCTAACCCCCGACCTAGAAGCGGGTTGGCCCCTGGTCGTTTCTTGGATGCCCTTGGCGAGTAAAGGGGGATTGGAACCAAAATTGGCATTCCCGCGCGAAATGTCCTATTTGTCCACAAACAAAGCAGTGGGTCTCACTTTGGCACTGTCGACTATTCATTCCGCCGCTCTTCCGGCGGCTGCACGATTCGTACCGCCGCTCGCAATCACTTCATTGATTGTTTGGATCGATGAAATCTGACCCGCTAAATCCAGTTGTTGCCCCGCCGCGACTGTATCCTCGTAAGAGAGGGTCGGTCGTAGCAGTAATTGCCTCTTTAACTCTACAGATACTCCTTCGACAAATTGTTGCTTGAGAAGCGTATCTTTATCCCCCTTTTCGATATTAGGCATCGCACGTCTCAATAGCGCTTCAAGGTTGTAGGCGAATACTTTGGTGTCTTCGTCTGGCTTTCGTATTCCGTTGCGGAATGCCATCATCGCGAGATGTTTGCCGTTCTCATCACCCCCAAAAGCCTCCGTTAGCGCCTTCGTTAGGGCTGTAAAATCTTCTTTCGTCTCCGCCGCAAGACGTTCAAAGACCGCAAAGGCTTTCCCGGACAACAGAGTATATATTTATAAAGATTCAACATTGCTCTCATGCAATTATTACTTTCTGGAAAATTTCTAGGGAGGCTGAGCCCCCCCAGTAAGATTTCTCGGGGGGCTCCAGCTCCTCAGCCCCCCCCCCCATACTCTACGCCTATGCTTAAATTTTCGGTATTTCCACATCCCGTGCAAAACTTTTTTACAGCAACTTTTTCCGAGTATATTTAATTTTTGGTCTCAAACCAAAAAGACTAGCCGAACATACAATTCCTAAAATTATCTGCAACTATATTGTAGTTCAAACCTCGTTCCACTTCTACATCTCTGATTCTTTAACTTTTTCGCGTGTGGCTGGGTGAAAGACCTTGGTGTTAAACGATTAAAAGATAAACTGAACTAACTTATAAGATAGGGCGGAGAAATGCCTGATAATCGCGTGAAACATGTGTGATGCACAGACCCCCCACTGAGGTTCGAAAAACGTCTAACATGGCGGGCTGCACGAGTAAAGACGAAACTGAATTTGAATACATTTTTAGTCCTGATGATACCGATCGCGACATGAAAACAAATACCTCAAAATCTTCACTGTTAAAGAGTTGATTAACGTGCTAAGTCGAGTTTCGTCGAGCAAAATAAAGCTCGAAGCTGAATTTGCCGGAAAAATTCTTGCAAACACGCGTAAGAAGGAATGTTTTAAACCTTTTGTTTTGTGTCATCGCTTTTTGATTTTCCCGCCTTCACTTACTTTGCGTCTTGATTAAAATTCATTGTCGATTGTTTACTCGTCCCATTCCCCTGGGTACCTAAAAGTTCTTTCGAGATAACTTTTACTTTTTGAAGGTCGCCTTTGAGTAAAATTTTTGAAAAAAGCTCAAAAAATTGTCACTTTATACAAGAATAATATTAATCGTAATAGATTTGGCAGCCCCTCTGTTGTGTTCACGAACCTCCTCGGCTTCTGTGAAGTTTTTAAAGCCGGATTTATCGAAAACTTTTTATCCTGCTGTTGTGACGCGGTCAAATGTTTCTTGCAAGTAAGTTATGTTTCCCTAGTATACTTTTATCGTAGTAACTAATTACGCCCCCAGCAAAGAAAATGTATGATTTTAAACCTATATTATAGAAGTTGAGAAAAACCACAATTATTGAGAACACGAAAATTTCTCGTTTCTCCGCAGCGTGCCCGCTTTGACATTATGAGAGATGCTGAAATGTGAAATCGATTATATTTAGTGTACCGCTGTCACCGTTTCAATCTTAGACTCTCATTCTATCGTTATATTAGGAAGGAGAAAATCGCCTTCAATTGAAGCGAGTCAATTATCCAAAGATCCGCAGAATGTGGCGCAAACATCCCGATCCCAACTACGGGGTTTGGAACAGTTGCAATATGAACTAACAAGCAAAGAACTACAGTATGCACAGAGAACACTAGCGAGAAATAATGATTTGAACTTCATTTCCCACGAATTGTTTCAACTCTCCATTTCCCTTGATCCAGTGTAAGGCCACGGTACTATCTAACCATCCGAATACCTGGCTCACTGGGAATCCTTCCAATGCCTCTCGGACGTTGTCAACGAGGTTGGCTGCCATGTGTGCTGATACGACATACAAGCAGGGTATTGTAAGGTTTTTCTTGGCTAACCGCGACATTGCAGCAACGAAGCCTTGCGTTGTGCCACTAGCTTGTTGGACCACGGCTATCACCGTTGCTCCCACTCCTTGAATACTCGCATCACCGAATGTGTGTAATCTGATATCTTCAATTAGCTCCTGGAACTTCGCTAGACTCCTTGGCGCGGTCACGTTCTCTGGTAGGCTTTTCTGCCACGCCGTCCATCTAGCTTCTAACTTTCGAGGCAGTTTGGCGTCCCAGGGGACCTTCGCATCACAACACTCGCGATAGACGAACTTCCCTTGCAGAGTAATGGGCGAAATCAACCCGAGAGGATCATAAACTTTCGCGATCTTTCCGAGGACTCCTTGCTTCGTCGGACTTGCTGGGTCAGCAGGAAACTTGATTTTGTATGGCTTGAGCATGTATGGCTTAGGCGGCCAAAGGAGTGGAAATTCGGTCCCAAATGGCTTGGACCTCACACTATTTTAGGAAGACTAGGCGTAAATTATAAAATTAGATCGATCAGAAACAGGTCGAGAGTTCATGGTCCATCACGATCATCTAAAACTTACTTTATGCCTACTGAGCAGGGAAAGTTAGTTAGTCCAGGTTAGTTTGTCCTGGTCAGGAATCGGGAGATTTTGATCGTAGTTTCTGTATCAACTTTTAACGTTTTCGGGACCAAAACTAATGAGAGAGGAAAGTGTGGCGCGCGATCAAAATGATTGCGTAAATAATGCATGTCGCAATACATAATCTTGTAACTACAATTTGCTAGAGGAACATGATGATTAAGTGATTATGATACGTAATTGACGGGATGTAATATAAGAAAGAAATTGATATAAATAAATCAGACTGGGGATGGTAGCCGTGCTGTGACCGACAGTGACTGTGTCTTATAGGATCTTAGGTCTACGCTACATGGAAACGAAGTTGTTGTGACGAGCGGATGGTACCGTCTAAACGCAGTTTAAGAGAAGTAGAGTTATTTAATATCTGTTGCGTTATGTTGGAGATTTGGAGTACAATTTTAGCTATGAAATAAGTGGCAAATGTTGAAAGATTCTAATGAATCTGAATTACCATTTTCCTCAAATTTTAATTTGTGACCTGTGAAATCAGACTTGACTTCATTAAAAATACAAAACAATCGCACCGTAACCATTTGCTTCACCTGGGCCGCATATAACTAGCTCATGGCGAAATAACGCTGCTCCTTTTCTCAATGGACTCCATGCCTGTGATATTTTAGCTTCAGCACAAATGTTGATATTATTAGGTTAAAGCCACGAATAAGATTCAGGTTTGTGCGTTTTAGACAAAATAAAAATCATCATCATCAAAGCAAACGTATATAAACTTACGTAAAATCCTTCGAAAAAAGGTTGTGTAAAATAAAAAAATTAAATTAAATTAAAACAGTGTAGTGATTCTCCCGAAGTTCTGCCGGTCTAGTGGTGAACGCAATGCTCTCCCATGTTTCAAACTTGGGGTTCGTGTCCAGGCATGTCCGTTTTTCACTATGTCCTTCGTGAAAAGGCTAAAGTAAATTAAATAATCATAGCCGTTCAGCACATGATCTCGTAGTCTAGTGGAGAAGACAATGGTCTCCCAAGTGGTAAATCGATTATTCGAATCTTACCATAACCGTTTTTCCATTATGAACTTCGTGAAAAGGTTAAAGTAAATCACATAATCATAGCCGTTCAGCAAATGATCTCGTAGGCTAGTGGTGAAGACAATGATCTCCCAAGTGGTAAATCGATGGTTCGAAACTTACCATAACCGTTTTTCATTATGAACTTCGTGAAAAGGTTAAAGTAAATCAAATAATCATAGCCGTTCAGCACATGATCTCGTAGTCTAGTGGTGAAGACAATGGTCCCCAAGTGATAAATCGATGTTTCGAATCTTACCGTAACCGTTTTTCATTATGAACTTCGTGAAAAAGATAAAGTAAATCAAATAATCGTAGCCGTGTAGCACATGATCTCGTAGTCTAGTGGTGAAGACAATGGTCTCCCAAGTGGTAAATCGATGGTCGAATCTTCCCATGACCGTTTTTTCATTATGAACTTCGTGAAAAAGATAAAGTAAATTAAATACCCAAAGCCCTTCAGCTGAAGATCTTGTAGTCTAGTGGTGAAGACAATGGTCCCCCTAGTGGTAAATCGATGGTTCGAATTTTACCATATCCGTTTTTCATTATGAACTTCGTGAAAAGGATAGAGTAAATTAAATAAACATAGCCTTTCAGCACAAGGAATTGTAGTCTAACTGTCAAGATGTTGGTCTCATGTGTCGAAAGTCGAAGGTTCGAATCTCGTTTTAGATTGAAATTTTCGTGATTAATATTACATGGTAAGGTTATGGAGAATAAGTTTATGTAGGCTTCCAACAATCGCCAGTTAGCTTTGTGGTAAAGTCGTGCTCTATCAAGTACAAGATCGTGGTATCAGGAACAGGATGGTTCGTTTCTCATAGCGGAAAGAAAGAAAAAGGGTGGGTATGTTGTTCGGGTTTATGCTCGGTTAATCTTTGGAAATCAAAGTTAATCTTTAGGGAAATCAGGGGATAAGTAGGGTGAATGAGGGGTACACTGTAAAAACTGAATGGTTGAAATGACCAAAAAAAAAGGTTGCAACCATATAAAATGGTTGTTTCAACCAATTAAATTGGTTAAAACCAAATTAAAATGGTAGAAATAACCAATAAAAAATTGGTAAAATGGATATGGAAGCTCATATTGGTAAAAACAACCAAATATATTTAGTAGCAATAAATAAAATTTGGTTAAATTGACCAATTAATCTTTGTGGTCAATGGGGTATATTTGTAGACCTCTGGTTCTATGTTCTATTGAATCCAATAAAATATGCTAGAATGCTATCTATAGCACATTCTAAATCCTATGGCTATAGAATATTCTATAGGACTTCTTATGATCTTATGCTATATAGAATTCCATTGCCGTATTCTATAGAATTTACAAATCCTATAGAATATTAAATCTTAAAGTTAAAATTCTCAGCAAAAATCACTCGTTTTGTAAGGACAAATCACACATATTTCACACTTATCTGTAAACTGTTTTCATAATATACCTGTTCGCAGGTTAGGTGGCGGGCGTTTTGCCCAAAAAGGACCGCAAGGTTATGTGGGACTTGTATAATAACCGACACGCTTTATTTTCAAATTTTGAGCGCGTCTTTGACTCTTTGTCATCGGTTCAAGGTTTTTCTTTCGTATTTTAACATAAAATACGCGTTATTTGAATTTGTCAATGAGTAGTCATGCGAAATTGGTGAAACACGCTGGATTAATATGCGAGGAGATCCGGATTATTTGTGAATAGTGACTGTGATCGCGAGGAAGAAGTAATTGTGTCATGGCCATGTGGAATTTCTAAAGTTGATAAGAAAATGATCAAAGGTTCCATTCAACTATCTACAATTTCAACAACAACATGTGTACAGCTAAAGTATTATAATTCAGTGGTGAGTGTGTTTGTATATAGTATATGTTTATATTTAAAATATTGACTATTTTTTCAGATTAGACTTTGTATGGCTGCTGGACACTTTTTCAAAACTTTGTCCAGCTGTCACATGCCTACTAGTATTAATTAAATATGAAATGCCCTCCATATATAACCATGCACTGAGTCATTTAAAAGATTACTTTATTCACTCCATCAAGGCTTCAAGATCACCTTTAAGTGCAAAAAAATAACCAAATTTTAATTGGTTGTCCTGGTTGCATCCAGGAGAACCTTTTTTTTTGGTTGTTTCAACCATTCATTTTTTACAGTGTATATGAGTACAAAAAGACTTAGTAATTGGGCGGGCGGCCTCGGCTCCCGGGAGCAGGGGGAGGGTATAGGTGAGAAAACAGTATATAAAGCGTTTAAGTCTTTTTGTACTCATTTAAACCTCTTTACCCCTATTTACCCTCCTATTTACTCCTATTTATCCCTACCCTTTCCTATCCTCAGATATCCCCTTACACAATTAAATATTTGAAGAAAGCTTGCTTTGAAAGTCAGGAAAGACGGGGGAAAGACAACCCCCCTCAGTCTACTCCTCGCCCAAGGCGAGGGCATATTCGCCCTCTCGCTCTACTCCTCTCACACTCACAAATTCTCACCTTATTACCTGGTTGTTCTTTTTTGATTTGTCCAAGGCTTGAACCATCGACTGTATACTTGACAGATCACCGTTTTCACCACTACACCACCAGTTCTTGTGGTGAAAGCCTACAGTTTTTTATTTTACTTAATCCTTTTTTGAAAGGATCTTTGACGAGACTTAATACCTTTTAGTAGGATCTCAAATGAAATAACAATTTAAACTGATGAGTTCACTGTAATGCTCATGATTTATTTTCTCAAATCTCTCACACTGTATCTTTACAGACATTACCATCTTACTCGTAGCTTGTAACATCTCACATGCAGGTATGAAGTGCTCTAAAGCACTGTTTTTACATAAGTTGCTTATATGCGGGCCAAGTGAAGCTAATGGTTACGGTGGGATTGTTTTGTATTTTTAATGAAGTGAAGTCACAGTAAAGTAAAAGAATTAAGAACAGCCGAATACTCATCTTACTGAGACTGGAAAGTTCATGGCCGTAAAAACCCGTCTGAATGTGAATTGGGATATGGAAAATTAATGCGTGTGATGCATGGTTCGGGTAATGCCTAATCATTACGATAATATTAATAATTTTAGCCTTGTTCCGTCCTTATTAACCGTGCTGGGGCCGCGTTTGTATCAAGCCCGTTTAGTTTAAACGGTGGATAAGTTCAAAATAGAAAGCAAGTCTGTCGTTTTATTTAACAAGCAAACTAAATGTTTTTCACCTTAATACAAAGATACTGTTTACAACTATATATTCAGTGTATAATATTCAAGTTGACTCATTCAAGAGAGATGTAAGAGTGTTATTTAATTTTGACTTATCCACCGTTTAAGCTAAACGGGCTTGATTCAACCAGCCCCTGATATTTCTGAAACTCGACTGATTTACTGATCCGTCTAAATGCGAATTTAAGACGAGTTTCTCTTCCAGACGGGATTCCTGTCTAACTTACCCGTCTCTTATAAGTTAGACGGGAAAATTCGGACGAGAAACCCGTCTGTGAGGTTCACATAAGAAGAGTTTCCCGTCTTTGATGAATTTCCCGTGTATATGAATTCTGCTAAATGTATATAACTCGTATAGTCATAAGCAACAGCCAACAAGCATTACATCTAAAATTGCAAATAAGCAAATATCCAGTTAAACAGACATTGAATATTTATTTCAAGACTGTTCCTCACCGGTTCGTCGAATATAAAATACGCTAATCTAATATTTGAATCTTTGTACTAAAGAGACCGTCTCAACAACTGCTTGACGACCACATCGTTTGTCGATAAGCTATTGTTCTTTATTTGACCTAATCGTTTCTTCGTAGAACTTTTAACTAGTCAATATCTGTTCATTAACTTTTCTCTTAAAACCTATATTGAAATGCATTGTCAATTCTTGTACTTCACTTTGACTTCACTCATTAAAAATACAAAACAATCGCACCGTAACCATTAGCTTCACTTGGGCCGCATATAACTAACTTATGGAAATATAGTTCTTCAAGCCACTGCATACCTGTATGTGATTGTGATATTTTAGCAACAACTGACACAAGTTGCTAATATTACGTTACAAGCTACGAATAAGATACCGTGTGAGAGATGCTGAGATTTGAGAAAATAAGTGATGAACATTAAAGTGAACTCATCAGTTTAAATATTTTTTTCATTTGCGATCCTACCAAAAGGTATTAAGTTTCGTCAAAGATCCTTCCAAAAAAGGATTAAGTAAAATAAAAAACTGTAGGCTTTCATCACAAGAACTGGTGGTGTAGTGGTGAAGACGGTGATCTGCCAAGTATACAGTCGATGGTTCAAGCCCTGGACAAATCAAAAAAGAACAACCAGGTAATAAAGTGAGAATTTGTGAGTGTGAGAGGAGTAGAGCGAGAGGGCGAATATGCCCTCGCCTTGGGCGAGGAGTAGACTGAGGGGGGTTGTCTTTCCCCCGTCTTTCCTGACTTTCAAAGCAAGCTTTCTTCAAACATTTAATTGTGTAAGGGGATAGTTAGGGATATCTGAGGATAGGAAAGGGTAGGGATAAATAGGGGTAAATAGGAGGGTAAATAAGGGTAAAGAGGTTTAAATGAGTACAAAAAGACTTAAACGTTTTATATACTGTTTTCTCACCTATACCCTCCCCCTGCTCCCGGGAGCCGAGGCCGCCCAATTACTAAGTCTTTTTGTACTCATATACCCCTCATTCACCCCACTTATCCCCTGATTTCCCTAAAGATTAACTTTGATTTCCAAAGATTAACCGAGCATAAACCCGAACAACATACCCACCCTTTCTCTTTCTTTCCGCTATGAGAAACGAACCATCCTGTTCCTGATACCACGATCTTGTACTTGATAGAGCACGACTTTACCACAAGGCTAACTGGTGATTGTTGGAAGCCTACACAAACTTATTCGCCATAACCTTACCATGTAATATTAATAACGAAAATTTCCATCTAAAACGAGATCCGAACCTCCGACTGTCCACACATGAGACCAACATCTTGACCATTAGACTACAAGTTCTTGTACTAAAGGGCCATGGCTATTTAATTTACTCTATCTTTTTCACGAGGTTTATAATGAAAAACGGTTGTGGTAGGATTCGAACCATCGATTTACCACTTGCAAGACCACTGTCTTCGCCACTAGACTACGAGATCTTGTGCTGAAAGGCTATGGTTGTTTAATTCACTTTATCTTTTCTCGAAAGACATCATGAAAAACGGTTATGGTAGCATTCGAACCATTGATTTACCACTTGAGAAACCATTGTCCTCGCCACTAGGCTACAATATCTTGCTCTGATTGACTATGGTTATTTAATTTACTTTATCCTTTTCACGAAGTCCATAATGAAGAACGGTTATGGTAGGATTCTACCCCCCAGTTTGGAATCCGGGAGAACATTGCATCACCACCAGACCAGCAAAATTTATGGCAAAATAGGACACCATTGTATTTTACTAAACCTGTTTTTCGAAGGGTTATACATAAATTAATGATCTCAATGAGTTTATTTTGATGATGATGACTTATGTTCTTGCCTAAAACGCACATAGTTTTACCTTATAATCGTAGCTTTAATTTAATATCAACCATTTGTGTTGACGCTAAAATATCACAGGTATGAAATCCCTTGAGCAAACAATCGTATTTCATTATGTCACGCAGTGGGTGCGACTCCAAAAGCCGAAGGCTTAGTATATATGACATGGCTTTATGTGGTGATTGTGAGATTATTATTCGTTCCCTGCATGCGACTGCGTGCGGTACGGTTTTTTCTCCGGCATGAGCGACGGAATTGAAATTCGCCTTGGTTTGTTTTGTTGTTGTTTTTTTTATTTTTCGTTTGATTTTTTAATAAATGCTTGGAAAGGATTGTAATTTGTAAACAATATTTGAATTTCAAACGCCGGTTTGAATGATGGAAATGAGTCATACATTGTTTTTGAACATCGTGTTGAATACGTTTTGTATGTCGTGTTAAATGTGGTGCGTACTTCACATTGTCCCTGACGCATACTTTTTACCAGGGCGCGTCTATGCAATTTCCTGTGTTGATCGCATGAGATAAGTTAAGAAAATCACCCTAACCACGCTTCACTCAAAAAGTATAGCGGGCCTCTATTGTTCCAGAGTTTGGAAATTGGTGAAAAGGGGGAATAAAATTATCAGTAAGAAAATTACAAGTTGTTAGAACACTTTATGTTGCGTTTGTCATAAAACAATTTAAAATGAAGTCGCTTGGTTAGATCACAAGGTCAAGGTCAATATCAATATCCTCTCCTGGAAAAGAGATATCAATATTCTCTTTCTCCTTATCAATATCCTCTCCTGTCCTGGAGATATCAATATCCTCTCCTGTCCTGGAGATATCAATATCCTCTCCTTTCCTAGAGATATCAATATCCTCTCCTTTCCTCTCTTGGACATATCAATATCCTCTCATGTCCTCTCCTGGACATATCAATATACTCTCCTCTCCTGTCCTGTCCTGTCCTGGACATATCAATATCCTCTTCTGTCATGGAGATATCAATATTTTCTCCTGTCGAAATATCAATATCCTCTCATGGAAAGGTTATGTTATGATCTAACAGTATTGGGATAGTGTTGTTTTTTTTCTGGATTTAGCATTATAGAGGGGAACAACTTGAGTGGCACTTGTTTTAAAGTGTCTATAGCATAGGCTTTGTTGTGTCGAATAATGACGAATATCCCAGTATTGTAAATGCAGATCAAATCAGTGTTCAGATATTTCTGGACTCCCGACATCTCGCGGTTAGGAAGTGCTTGATGCATCATTTCACGTCATCTTCCCCATCCAAATTTGTAAATTTACCAATTGAATCAAGCAGTTGTGATGCAAGCTTCAGTGAATCTGCCCCTGAATAGAGTTTTCTAAGATAAAGAACAACAAATTTCAGCGATCCTGACGGTTTCTTTGATAAAGTACAGGAGTGTACATTACACATACAACCAAATTAGGTGACAATTGAAGACATATTCTTAAATCTTTCCTTTAAAGGCAGCAAAGCTAAAGGCCCTGTTTATGCCTGTTCAGACGATCCTGTTTTTATAGTCTGTTTTTATAGTCTGTTTTTATTGTCTGTTTTTATAGTCTGTTTTTATCAGTAAATCTGTCTTTCGAAAAAAAGTTTCATAATTGCCAAGTTTACATGTGATGCATCATCACTCAAAAGTAAAATTGTATTGCAAGTAGTCTCACCTTAAAGATTCCTCTGCATTCTTCGCAGTAGTTTCAAGATGCTGGGATACTGACAAAGCTTGTTCTTTAATGCCGGAAATATAACTTTGGTGTTTCTTAACCAGGTCGTCATAAACAGCTTTGCTAACAGAATTACTCTGAAATAAAATGAATATTTAGTCTAGACTGAGTGAGAACTGCCAGTGACACAATCCAAGCCCTAGTCCATTTGGCGAGGGGCTTTTCGATAGATATTACAGAACAAAGGAATGACTATCATTGATGCGAAAGACTGTGCACGCTTATCATCAGATTTATACTTTCGTAAATCGCCGCTGCTTTTTAAAACGTCTTAAGTCCTGTTCACATCACATTTAAATTTTTGGAACAGCACCGCTAGAATGAGTACACGTCGGTGCTCAGCTTATGTATTAGTATATATGATCATAGATAAATTGGGAACGGGTACAAATTTTCGCTGTGCTGTGTCACTAAATTAAGTGTGGTGTAAACGGGCAATAATAACATTTAAACATCGATACCTTAAGAATTTTATTTTCTTCTTTCAGTTTTAAATTCATCGCTTCTGCCTGTGCCGCTCGTTGCTAAAAAAAAATTTAAGACATTAAATCTAGCAATAAATCTTAACTTCTTATTAACCGAGCGCGAGGTCTTTACCGAATATCGGACCGATGTCACTAAAAGTTACAGCAGTGACAGAAGACAATAACAGGACATAAGTCCCAATTTGTAATTGTCTCCCTATCTAAATATAAATACACTAAAATACAACTAGTACAGACATATACAGAAATTTTACAAACAAACTCGGACGGTCACATATGCTTACATTATTACAAAACAGAAGTTATTATTACTAAGTATTATGTAGTTATGGAGGAACGTAACTTTGCAGAGTATTTTTAGATTGAAGTATAAGCCTTGTTTTAAGTGATTGTAATTTTGAACAGACCGAGCTCGAAGAGCGAGGTTTGTGTAAAAAGATCGAGGTCGGATATTTCTCCGTAAATACCGAGCAAGCGAGGTTAATAAAAGTTTATATGACATAAGGCATGTATTTGCACTTGAAACAAACAAAAATGCATGAATTCGTAATTTTAATACACTGCCAGCTGATGCACGTATGTATTTCGAGCTTAAGGTAGCTCCTATGGGTAGCTTTAAGGTAATCATTGTAATACTGCAAATTGACAAGCAATTTGAGAAATTGTATTTCTGTAGCAGTAAAATATTGCGGCATTTCCAATTTAATTTTCCACAGAATGATGTAAAACAGAGACAGTCGTCACTCATCCGGCCGGTACTTATCAATGAAAATAACTGAGTCCAGGTTTACAGGATCACAAACGTTTTCCACCTGTGAGTCTGCCTTGTGTATATAACATGATAAACAACTTACAGTGGTCAACTCCAGGTTTTTCTCGACCATATGAACCATTTTTCTAACGCAACGGTTTCTTCGTTCTCTTTCTGTTGCATTTCTTTCAATTTCTTAACAAGGGACTCCGCTCTACGGAAATATTCAAACAGTTTTGAAACACAGTACAATTATTTAATCATAGATTTAAAAACCAACGTTTTTAAAACAGCCAAAAAAGGTAAATTTGCACATTTGTTCGAAGTGCAGCATCTTGTTTTTGCCAAACATCCCACACGAGCTGATATACGGTGAGCGGTGACTAGGTCAACCTAGCTTACGGTCAACAGCTCATAGTAAATGTTTCCATTATATATACTATCCTGCCAATCGAAATGCTTGTCCAAATCTAGTACAGTAATTTTAGTCACGTGTCAAACATGACGTTTAGCAAATTGAACGGAAGCTAATGGACCTTTTGTATGATAGACCTTTGATTTTGATTTAGGTAACAAAAAGGAAATTTCGAAAAAGTGCGTACTAAATTTAGTAATATTACCAAATTTGGCTGCAAAATATTGTAAAGTACGGAAAAAATAGCCATGCGAATTTGGCAATTACTATACGACCGGAAGTGTGTAACTATATGTGATTGTATAAACGCGCGTACAAACGTCAAATTTTATATTCGGCATTTTACGAAACAAAGATTGTGGCGTCAGCACTTGTTTCCATTTGTCAGAATGATAATCGCATACAACTAATCGACGTCGAGGCCTATAAAGGCACCTTATCGCATGAATACGATGGACACCAACCACAATCCCTACCTATTGGGTTCTGTCTGTGGTGTTGGGTCTAACCAAATTTCTGTATACCAACACGCATTGGTCGTTACAGGATTCGTTTAATGCGTATATAACAACAGTATTTTGATGCAATGTCAAGCAATTTATGTCAACTCATATTTTTCCAAAGGCAAGTTTACTTTTATACCTCGCGATTCCCCTTCCTTTGACTTTTTCATATCCAGAAGTTGTTTTTTCAACATTTCATTTTCTTCTCTTAACTATAATTAGTAAGTTACAAAGATAATTATTGCAAATTCTGGCCTCTGATTGATGGAACGACGTCCGATTACTACGCGACAATAAACCCTGTAATCACTTATAAGCGGATTTTTAAAAAAGGCGGCTTTTGTCAGTGACAGATGAAAAGGTGAGAAATTTTAAAGAAAATGTTGACCTAAAGGCTTAAAACAAGGAAAAAAATTGATGGTCTAAAATTATTTCGAGCTTAAAACCTCGTTGCAGAACGGGGCTTATAACTTTATTTTGCATTTTTTTAAATCGTGGCAAAATTTCAGAAATTCAGGCGTTTGATAAATTTAGGCAAATGAATCAGTGTTTTTTATATATTTCAGTTCGGAACGCTATGCTATTGTCACGATGTAAAACACTTTATATAATACCTACAATAAAGCACGCAATTTGATTGGTTAGTGAGCGTACAGGATGAGACAATCCTGCACCGAAAAGTTTACAATGCCGCTTCGCGCGGGAATTTTAAAATGTCGGACAATTTTGAAGTTGTAAACGATAGACAATGTAAAGAAAACACGGAACAACGGTTTGTCCTAAGTCCTAACTACAGAAACTCTGATTGGCTTGTTTAGAATTCCATTGCAGTCAACACTCGCCTGCGGTTTAATTTACTTGATAGCCATCACGCTTTCCGAAAGTCTCACAATACTCAAGTGCAGTATATACGCTATCCTGCACGGAAAACCATTTAGTATTCCTTTCTTTTTTACTTTCTTCGTGGCGAATTTTAAGGTTTTCATTATTACACTGTATTGCCCCGGGTGATCCGAAAACGCGGGAATGGAATGGAAACTAGTTGCCATGCAAATAGAAATCCATTTCTCCATTAAAACAACCTGATATCTCTTGAAATATACTTTATTTCGGATCGAAATTTATGTCAGAGCTATAGTCCTTGTAACTACAAAATTCTGACAAGTTTCATAAAGAATAACGAAACCGATCAAATCGGTTAAATACTGAGAAATGGATTTCTATTTGGACAATTCTTTCTGAGCGCTGCTTGGCTAAAATAAAAGCGCGAGATCACCTGGCGTCTATTCGTGAACTTTCGTGATTCGGGAAATTTAATAAATATGCGGTCTGCGTGTGGACCGTGCGAGACAATCCCTATGCTTCACATAAATACTTAATGGAACTATTTCTGGATGTATGAATACACCATACCTGTATAATTTCTTCAGAATTAGGGCCTAAATCATCTTTTGAAGAATCATTTTCAATACATATATTGGAAGAATGTTCGCTAGTGATGTCTTGAATTGTGTCGGCGTTGGTTTCTACTTCACACACTTCATCATCAACTATCTGTAGTAAACGAGTAATACAAAAGTAATTATCATACTGTGTTTAAAACTATTGGGGTGATCCATTACAAAAAAATTACAATCCACCCTGCATGATTTAAAAAAATCTAAGGAATATAATCGTGTCTTTCTAATCGTTCCTGGATATTTTTTCTCTGTAAAAAACAAAAAAAAAATAACCCTGAGCAAACAAAAATGATTAATTGGCTTATTCTATTGTTTCGTATCTCTATTGTATTGTTCTTTATAATTTTATGAATATATGCAAATAAACCTGTTTTGTCGCTTTTCTTAGCAAACGAAAAATCTTATTCTTCTTACTTTAATGCACGATAACTCAAAAATTAATAAAGCAAACTATATAGAATTTAAATCAACTAGATTGTATCTACAAGCTAATTTATTTATATTGTGATATTACAATGCAAAATTACAAGAATATATAAAAACGCAAGAAAGCCGAATAGCGCCATCCACCGGATAGTGTTTTTTTCAATCGCTTTAAAATCGCTCGTTTTTTCGGAAAACTTTGATTAAATCTTAGTATTCCTAAATCGAGGATCCTCTTTAATAATTGTTGGTTCCAAAGATGAAATTTTATTGCTATTTAACCATTTTTGAACTGTTGAAAAAATCGCTATCCAGTGGATAGCGCTATCCGGCTTCTATGCAACCGTCCTCTGGGCTAAAAACATTTGTCATGGTGTTAAACTAAAAAGAACTCCATTTCGCTTTGCCTAGATAAGTAAACTAGCGACAGAAAGTTTAGCGAATGTTTAAGCAAATGTATTGATCAACTTTATATAGGTAACGAATTGATGCAATATTTTATAAACACTCATCAATCATGCACTAGTTGAATTCCGAGTAGCTGCACTGCATTTTTCATATACCAACCCAAATCAAGTGTAAATTTCGAAATGTTTTACAACGCACCTGCAGCACGCGACCTCCAGTTTTCAATGCTGCATCCTTCTTAACAAAATTCTTGAATGAAAATGGGTTTTCCACATCCAATTCTAAATTGCTGGACGATTCCGGTGGTTTTTCTTTGATGTGCGAAGATTTCTTAGCATCTCTTCCTTAAAATAAAAGGTTGCATGGTTACAAAATTGGACAGCTTAAAAGACGTTACAGCGTTCTTCGCTACCTTCTATATACAATGCACCCGTAGACAGTAAGTTATATAGTTCGAACATTGGGGTGTTACTGCATGACCCCTCTATGCCCCGGGAATATTCTAAATGCATTTGTATATTTATTTTAAAGTACATTTTGTGTCCACTTTTGAGTTTTACGTATAAAAAACAATATGTTCGACTGGGATCGCTAGTTTATTTAAGATTTTAGGCGAGTGGCCAGGGCCAGCATATAACAACCGTGTCAGTAATATCGCTGTCGCTGGTTTATAAAGGTCACTGTTCTTTCTTCATCTTGTTACGGGTGTTAAATCTCAAAACATCGAGTCGTATTGAAATAGGAGCGAGGTAAAACCAAGGACGATGAGAGAGAGGCGTAAGGCCGTTTTCCAGACCACCAGCGATAATTAAGCAAATTTAGCTCGAGGAAGGCAACGTCAAAGATGACGTGAAAATGGCGAATAAATTGCGCACAGCGCCATATATGGACGTGCCACGCAATTTATTCAACATCTTTACGTTTGCATTTTTGCCTTTGACGTTCAAGTCCTCAAGCTAAATCCGTCTAATTTTCGCGCAAAAGCGACATTTTACTTTGGTTTCAGAGCTGTCAACTGCAATCATCTGGAACAAATTGCTCAAATGCAAAAGAATACATTTGCTTCGCGTGAAACATATCACTAGTGGAAAGCGGCTTAAAGTCACGACATTTTGTTGCCCTAGTTTTTAGATGAGCTTAAGTGACGAGCACGAGCCAGCACAAATACGTTCGATGCCTTCCTGGGGGCAATCATTCACTCGGGAATACGAAATGAAATATACAAACCCAGTTCTTTTAGGAAAAACGTAATAAAAAAGAAAGTAAACAAGTTTATTCGGAATAAACGGGTCGCCGCTTCACTTGTTTTTCGGAATTTAAGGTTATCACCATGGTTTATCTAATTATCTTTAACGTACTGTAAGATCGAACAACGTATGCAGACGGTTAAAAAGTGTACATAAGAAATCTTATCGATTAGAATTTTAAAATTTCGTCTGATGTCGGTTTTAACGTTTCTACTGTAAGAGGGATTAAGCTGAATAATGTGATATTGAGATTGTCTTTTATCACTGTCGGTGACTGCGTTTTAAGGCCCTATTACACGTGCAATTTTTATGCAAAATGCAATTCTACTTTTAAGAGATGTAAATTAGTGACGAGCCTTGAAAATGTGAGTGTAAGAAACGCCCAAGGAAGTATAGACCTAAATATGCCAACTACGCGAGACTTTTTTGTATATTATAAAGCCAGGTCTGTTTACACGATCCAATTTTGTCGGATCCAATTTTGTCGGATCCAATTGACTTCTGACGTATGGAATGTAGATTATTATTAACAAAGCAGTACTGCGTTGGGTTTAGTTATTCGGCCGTTCATATACATTCTATGTCAACAGACTGTAAAACATCAATCAGAAGTGGACTGGATTCAACCAAATTGGATCGTATGAACAGATCTTAACATACAAAAAATTTCGTAGTTGGCTAATTTTACATCCCTCAAAAGTGGAAATGTATTGCGAGACTGCGTGAAAAATTGTGTAACAAGGCCTTTAATGGTGTGAACATTCGGCTTCGTGGCATCAAGTCGAGATGGCATTTTAGTCGGATTATAAGGGCGAGAGACAGGCTTAATCACAGATGATGGAATTGTCTTAGGAATGAGGCTGGAAATATTAATTATCTTGTAAATCAAGAGTGAGGTCTACAAAGTTCAACGTCTGGCAATTTACTTTTGCTCTGATTTGAGATTGATAATTATCAAACAATCTATATAGTAAGCCCTCCCTTGCCTCATCTGTAAAGCGACACGGAATGCCTACAAAATCAATCCGTCGTAACGATGAATATCAGTATTATATAGAGATCCGCATTATTTTCATCGTATTTCATGGCTATGGCTATTTCACGTGTACATAGTTGCCCACTGACATTTGTCACACTTAATGTAGAGTCGCTTTACTGCGTAATCCACGTACATTCTTTTCCCATAGGCGTACGCCCAAAAATTTCGAGAATCAAGACATTTGGACAAAGTTCAGCCGAAAATCCGGACAAACTGAAAAAGAGTTACATGGCTAAAATTTTTAAAATCAAAATTTGTAATATATATCACATATGCGTATTCTATTTGGCCATTTTTGTTGCACTTTCTTCTAACACATCCGGCGCTTTGTCAAGTTTATTGTTACAAATCTGGTAAAAGTTAAAATTCGGGCACATTGTATAATTATTCCGCCGTTCAATTACATATAGTCATGAAGTCACATGTATTCGTGTTTAACAAAGCCTGCCTGGTTCTTATATGTCGCCAACTGTCGGCGACGTATTGTTGGTGGCCGGTGACGAGGCAATTTATTTAAAATAACAAAGTACTTTATTCTCCAGTGATCACCGAAACTAGCCATTCGCTGACCTATGTATGAGAACCAGGATTGCGGTAACATCTTTCTGGGAACTATGACTATGACTGGCCTTGTCCTTTAAAATCTTGTTATTGCAAGGATAGAATATAAAAAAATTTTCAATCGGATTGGTTTACACCGTTTTTTTAGACTTACTCATCATGCAAATGTGTATAACAACTGCATGCCTAAAAATAGACAAAAAATTCTTTACTCTTTGACCTAAACAAAGGCCATGCAATTTCTCATGCAAAAGAGTTTTGAAATTCGATTTCGAGTACGAAATATTTACTTCTCAGAAAATAAAGCATTCCCGTAATTTTACTTTTATGTTGCCATATATGTTTATAATGTGTTTATACTATTTAATGTGTTTATACTATTTAATATAATATTAAATGTTTTTATGTCATCTAAAAAGTCAGTAAACTCTTTGTACCTGAAGATAATCTTTGTACAACATCGCTTCAAATATGGTCAAACTTCATTACTTCAACTTTCTAAAATAGACATAAACATTTCTCGACGTTTCGACCTTGGCATTTGTCAGTAGAGTTCAGTATAAACAAACTCTCCTGGCGAAGGCCCTCAGGTCGAAACGTCGAGAAATATTTTTTGTCTATTTTAGGCAGTTGTTATACCACATTTGAAGCGAAGTTGTTTGAAGACTCTGACACTCTGTCACGCTGTTCCCTGATTATATTTGAACGTATCTAATCTTTGTAATTTTATCAAAATACTCTGTGGTTCCCGCAACTTTAGTCTGTACTTCTATTCTTCTAATGATAATAGATAATGTTTTGATAGACGCGTATACACTATTTTACGTGGTTTGACTTTGTTATGTAATCTGAAAGGTTCGATTCATAAAATCTTTGTACCCATGCAAAGGTACTCTTTGTCATTTTTATCAAAATCCGCTCCTGTAACTTTATTCTAATGATGTAATAGTTGTTTATAATTATAAAATGTTACGTGCTTTGTTATGTGCACTGAAAGCTAGGTTATGTGTAGTTTAGTAAAATCTTTGTTCCTGAAGATATTCTTTGTCCTGTTGATCAAAATACTCTCTGCCTGTGATTCTCCGTAACTTTACTTCTATAATGTCGTATTGTACGTCTATAACGCGTCTTGTCATGACATTTGACGGTTAGTTAATTCTTTGTACCGTTAATCGTTATTTATATCAATTCTTTTTAAACAATGTTCAAAGTTCAAACGGAAGAAATGCGAACGGGATTCGAGATCCTCCTACATGAATAAACATATGCCACAAGCTCAAGTATTAAAATTACTGGTTTTTGGGGGGGGTTCTTAAATATTGGACATTACTTACTAACAACCAACAACCAATAAAATCTTTGTACTTAGCAAAAATCTTTGTACAGTGGTCCCCCGCTAACTCGAACTCCTCGCTAACTCGAATTAAATTCAATTCCCCTTGAATTTGACAGTGTTTTTTATAGTAATTTAATCCGCTTAACTCGAACTCGCTTAACTGGAATTCCTCGCTAATTCGAAAAAAAATTGTTTTCCCTTGGTCAAATATATCCGGTCAACTCGAACTTTGGTTTCGAATCATAGATCAGCTTTAAAATGTGAGAAGATAGCATTTTGACAACTATCAAAATAACAACAAGTTAATCAGTGTATAATTGTATATAAAGGCTTATAAATTTTAAAAGATTTTATGTAGTGCCACGGTCGTTATTGATCAAACTTTTTTAGTTCCTTTTGTATTCTTTCGATCTTTTTAATTTTAAAACGTCGTCCACTCTCGGTGACCATTCATATTGGTAGGCATGATATCTCTTGAAGAATGATTCGATTGGATTTTATACCTTATTGTATTACTTATAATAAACGTAATCTGACACCAACTCGGATTAACTCGAACCCCTAGTAACTCGAACAATTTTTCTTTCCCCTTGGGAGTTTGAGTTAGCGAGGAACTATTGTGCTTAGTAATTTTGATAGCAAAATCATTGTACTTGTGGAAACGTCAAGAAACTTTTTTTCGTTTTCAGGCAGTTTATGCTACATTTGATGTGAATGAGATACAATACTATGCGATATTCAAAGTCAATGTCAAGCTGTCCCAGCCTTAGTTATATTAGAATTTTACTTGCCAAGAGCAAGGAAGTAGCTGAAGTATGCTCCTCTATATCAAGTTTCAAAAGTCAAAGAGTGGAAAATCATGATTGGGTTATTTTTTTGATAGTTTTGGATTAAATCTTTGGATTTTTTATCTTCATTCTATACAACACTCCTAATTTAGAAGATGATACTTTTGAACATGAACTTAACAATGATCCCCTCTTTATCCATAGTGATTCAAATCATTACGGTACTCAATCCAATTCAAGACAAATTTAATGATGGTATTAAATACCCTCTGCCTCTGGTGAACATCACCTGCAGAAAGAGATATTGCCCCACAACACAATAATTATCAAGAACACCTGAAATTAACACCAGTTAGCAACAGAAATAAACTTTTCAATTATGAGCACATGACTGCACACCAACCAAATTGGTGATTGGTTGTTTGAAGGTTGACCGTTAGTGATGCATTAATTATCATGGTTGAGTGCTGTTTATTGCTAGAATAGTCTATTGCAATAAAATGAAAGGCTTAATTGTTCTATGTGTCTCTTTCTAGCGTATGTTATTGTGTGAATTATGTTCACATTTGTAAAAGGTTGGCAAGGAAAAGAAATCTACCCGGTTAAATTAACTTAATTGCATACACCAGAGGAAGAAAATTGCCCATATAGCTGAGGCTTCATTGGGAAGTTTAAATTGGAATGAGGTAGCTCTTCTGTCTACCAATCTGACAATTAATATAATGTCATCATCTGTACCAAATTATATTTACTGCATGTCTAGTTTGTGCTGCATGTGGATTGAATTTCACTATTCTGGAGAAGGCTCCAAGTATCAGGTAAAAGCCGAAGAGAAACAAAATATGCATGATCATTTCGTAGCTCGGTAGCTGACGTTTTGCCCAACTTTGTTTATTTTTATACAGACCAGTATATGCTATAATACTAATAATTTCATATCATCAAATACTAATATTATTCATACCTTTGCCTTTCTTTTTAGTTCCAGTTGTTTCAGACACTTCAGGGAACGGTAATTCATCATTTTGAACATTTGATACATTACTAACATTAGTCCCTGCCTGCTTGTTAGGCAATCTTTTATCCTGATAGTCTAAATCTTCGTTCTTATGCTTGACAAAATGCTTGAATGAAAACGGATTTTCATCATTTTTATCATCACACATATTACAACATAATAGAACGAGAGAATAGACAAAAACCCATAGAAAATATTCAGAGAAACTATAATTCTGTGTTCATAATTGCTGCAAAATCGTTCCTATTTTGGTTAGCCTGCATGACAGGCTGCAATGCTCACTGATCTCAAAGACAACTGGGGCCGGTTATTTAAAAACCGGTCAGACTAACCCATGGCCAGCGGAAGTTGACGAATTTGTTTTTGTCACTGGTTTTTGTCAACATGCGCATGTAGGCACAATCTACTCCGTCTGAAAAAAAGTGGAAATTACTCAGAACAAATAAAAGTGAAACAGATGCGTCATCGTGGCCTATGATGACGCATAATAGCGAAGTTGTTCCTTGACAGATGTTGGCTGAATAATCTATTTCCCTTACGAACTGAACTCAACCCATGCTCGTTTTGGCTTGGTTTGATAAAATATACGTAATCATAGCTCCGGTTATGCTTTTATTGCGTTTGCCTTTCTTTAGTCTAGCCTTTGTTCCGTTTTAGCCGCAATTTTGCCTTTACGATTTAAAGAATTCTAGAAAATAAGATCTTACACTTACTAGAAGATCAACTTTATTATAAAAGTTGATTAATGTTTAAAATACTTAAGGCGAGTTAGACCAAAGAAAAGTGAAGCCAGCCTGCCAAATTTTCTCAGCCATGCGTATAACTTATCTGACCAGTTTTTTTAGCTGTTGGTTAAATATGTCAAGTTTTTATGTTTCAATCCCTTTGTACTAAATTTGGCTTTATGGTAATAATAATGGATTTTTGCGATTTTTTTTTTCAATTCTTAAATTTGGCAGATGATCACATGCCGCGTTCTGGGAAGCATTAGTCGGTCACAATAGTCGGTCATTGTTTCAAACAATTGTTTGAACAGCGTTTAACATTCAAAAATGGGCTATCGGCCCCAGGAGCACGGTTGTTCGAGTTTTGCTGCATAGGCTGATAACAGTTTGCATGTGTTGCACAATGTGTTGCACTAGATCGAAAAGCTTTCGCCATTCAGGTTGTTTTGTTATTGAAAAGAAGCGAATATTTTATATTTATGAATATTTAATGTTGTGTGTGTTTTTTTTATACACGCGGCCTGTTATAGTTTTCAATATAAAAGTTAGCAAAAACTCGCAATGCAAATAAGGTTATGCAACTTATGCGAACAAGTGTTATTAAAAGTCACAAAAGTACCAGACCAGCCACTACACGAGCTTTTTAAAACTTTGATTATTTCGATCATTCGTTCATATTGTACATTCGACTATTGTCCCGGACAACTGAACTGCATAAAATAGCTGTTTACAATTTTTTGTTTAAAAATCAAAATATAAGAGACCTAGACGTGTAAACTGTAACGTATAAGACTAACTGATTTGAATAACTGCTTCCTGTTGAAAATTGTTGACTCGCTATTAAATTATATTGTCAGCCGCGGGAAGGCATATTCGAAACGAAGGAAACAACACAAATTCAAATGCTGCTCGTACTTTTAAAGCATCTCAATGATTCACAACAAAAAAGTTTAAAGTTTTAACATGTAGATGCACGAATAATATGAGGATGTAATTAGTTGGAAAAAATGTCAAACGTAAGCAATCAATATCTCATTAATCTACACACCCAGGTTGTGGCTAGCAGGTTGTGTCTAGATAAGATTATTTTCCGAATTGGCATCGCGTAGGTCTACAGAAAAAGCCGAAATAGCCTCCTTTTTGTGGGCTAAATGCACTATCTTTGAACTCTACAACCTTTGATATTGGCAATATTGATCAGTGTCGCTCTATCACGCGTAAAGTCAGCAAATGTGACGCACAATGGACACTTAAAGTGCTAAAAATTCCACGGAGATAATGACACAAAATGCGTCATCGCATATTTGTCAGGTCATTGACGTCATAGTCTCATCCGGTAACTACCTAAAAGGCTTAAAAGTCTAGTAGAGAAGCCTTGTGAAGTTTTTACCTGAATGACATGTTAGAACCAAGTTGTCGGCGATCACGACTGAATCTGTTATTGTATGGCTATTTTCAAAATACAGTATTTCTTCAAGGTTTGAATTTGAGTAAGAATTATCAACTGAATATATACTTTGGTGGCTGACGAACAAAATATAGACTAATATAGTCTCGTATACAAAAGGCAAGTGCAAGTTGTTGTCAATTATTTCATCGGAAGCAGGACAATGAATACACTTTATCCGAGCTTCGCTTTGATATTCGGTTTACTTTCCATCGTAACGAATGGCTTATCTTGCTTGGTGTTTTACCGGAATCTAGCACTAACATTTGGCAGTCCGATTATATATTATTTTGTCACGCTAACTTCAATGTATTTCGTGAAAGGCATTGTGACAGTGTGCTGGTCCGTCTCGGCTTTGTTTAAATCAGGCGATGATCAATTATTCTTCAAGATTGGGCGATATGCGTACTGGACTACGGCGCTATCCCTATTCCTGACACTGCTGGCAATGGCCATCGAAAGATACCTCAGTACATGGCTCCCACAAACGTCTCCAGTGGCTTCGCGCGAGAAAAAAGGTTTACACGTACTTCTGCCTTACCATTGTGGTCTTTCGCTAATTTGTGGGCTGCTGGTCGCTCTCGAGAACACGGGCTACTACGTTGAATTCTTCATATGCGCGGTGGCCGAAATCGTGTATGCTCTAACCGTATTTTTCTATATTCGCCTATGGCTGAATCAACGCTCACAGGATAACGAAAACACACGTCGGGAAGCGACGAGTCAAATTACAACTGGCACAGAATGTGGAAGTCAGTTCGATGGTCATAAAAGACTGAACATTATCGTACTTTGTTACATTATTGCAACTCTGATAACTGTGTTACCCTTCTTCGTTGCGCTCCAGGCCAAGTTGGTGTATGTTCTTTTTTATGGGGTCACGGTCGGTAATACCCACCTCGAAAAGTTTCTGGAGATTTATCCAATGTTTACGTGCATAAACTATGGCTTGACTCCGATATTATATTTCATCATTTTACCACAATACAAGAAATGCCTGCTGATGCTCATAACGTGCCGTGATTCAGGTCAAATTGCCCTTAACGGCAGTACGCATGACTCGGAAGAAACTACATCCTTTGCTGAATTGGTTTAGAATATGCTGGAGTAAAGACCGTAGGTGGCCCATTGAAAATGGCTCTTCTGGGGTGAGCGCTGCTTTCTACGCAAGTCGTGTAGACAAAACATTGCATGAATGCATGTAAACTAAAGAGGGATTTCACCCGATTTCCCCTCTCGGCTGAAAGTACATTTTACATGCATCTCGCTATTTTCTTTATTGCCTTATGAGTTTGAATAATGAGTAAAAATAGTTTGTTGTGAGGGCTGGTTTTTATTAAGTCATAATTTTCGGGTCATTTTCACCGATGTGTAATAGTCTGGATGTAAATTTGTCTTTATTTTCTGCTTTTATATCAGTCATTACACTGGTCATTATTGATTGCACGCGCGCAGAACTGTTCTAATACATCAACCACCACCTTGACATGTTCAGGCAAACGTGACTAAATGAAAAACAGCCTTGAGATTATTTTCGAGAGGTCTATTTTAAACAAACGCTTATGGAATGATATGTGACATTCTGGACATATGGCAATATGCATATGACGTCAAAACGTGCTGATATTGTGAAAAACATTATTCTCGATTACTGAATTCTAGAAATATGGACGCTAATTGCAGTCTCAATACCAAGGATTAAGATCGTTAAAGATTAAAAATATATATACTTATTTATTTGTAAAGGTCATATATATAGAGAAAGAGTATTGCAGTGTAGTAGGGGTTAATTGTAGAGTTGAAAAATAAAGTCAACAACATTTTTATTTTACGGTTAGTAGTGATTAGTGAAATAAATCTTCTGTCATTGGAATAAGCCAAAGCCGGGCATGCATGTAAGCATGTGTAGTGAATAAATTATAAACTATTCCAGCAGTACTTGTTGATCATACGAGCGAGTGAGGAGATACGGATATTAAAGTTTTTTATCCATCTTGTTTTGCCAACAAATGCCACGTAGTGACATGACAAGCTACTGAAATGAATACAAAGTTTCGATCCTTGAAGTAAAGCCAAATTCGGTATAAAGTTTCCCTCCTACACGCACAGGCGTTGGAATCGCGTGGGGCCCATTAATTATCCTTCAGAGATAAGGATATTCGGACAAAAAACTCCGTCAGATTCGGGCAAAACAGAATAACGAATTTTTCTGATGTTGCGAAAAAAAAATCGTCGTCAATATTGTCGCAAAATTGCTGATGTTTTCGTTGCATGTTCGGGCATGTCTATTTCGCGCCCTCACGGGAGTTGGGTCTGAACGCCTACTGGCCACACGCGTGTTTTAAATGTATTTATTATTAAATAATAAAGGAAGTTAATGTTATACGGGTCTTCGTATCGTAGTGTCGCGGGTCCTAGGACGCTTGTCCGGTCGGCTACTTGCCCCCTCCGGTGAGTACAAATATGAGCCCAGTTTGCTTGATCGAGTTGTTAGTTGCTTGCGTGACCCATCCCGCCCCTTTCCCTAACGACTTCACGCGATGTTGTGAACTCTACGGGAGAAGCGTCTTATTAATCTCGCTGGGGTTTGTTTTTTTTTTGTTAGTTTGTTTTGCAGGATTAAGCACAGTTCTTTTCACACCCGTTTTGGTCGTGGAATGGGTGTTTGGGGTAAAGGTAATTTCATTAATGATCGCCACATTTACAGGTATTATTTTTTTTGTTTTGTGTGTGTGTACTTTGATGTTCGTATCGTTTATTCCACGGTTTCACTTCAGTGACTCACGTGTGACAGTTGATCACGGGATGGAGGAGGTACCGTTAAAATAGCATGGTTCGTTGAGTTATTATCTGCGCCGAAAACAGCAAACTCAAAAGAAACACCGTTTCACCCCTAGCCCGACCGTTTCGCTCGGATACCGTCTCCATCCCTACCGATCGGCAGCGGGCAAAAATATAGTGTAAGAGCTGGTGTGAGCCTTAGGATCCGTTAGAACGTTAATACCAGCTGAAACATTACTTTGGGTCTGTGGCGATGGGTTACTATAATATTTTTAGGTTTATTGGGTCAAGGGGCATGTTGTATGCGTTTTCAAGTTCTGACCTGACCATCCTTCACACCCATCCCAGTGATCCCACAGAGTTACTAAGCGAAATCAATCGATTCCTGTTTGACTAATATGAAGGGGAAATGGGAGTTTCCAATTCGATATTGAGTTATTATCTGGCCATCTTTTGGCCTAATGAGCCGAACCACTCCACTGATATGTATACTAAGACTGGACAACGCCTCTTAAATTCAATTCAGAAGCCGGAATATTTTAAATGAAGTCGGATTAATTAATAAATGTGTGAAATTCAGTTCTTATAAGCTTAATCTCTTGGCTTTTAGTTAGTTAGCCGTCAGGGTTAGCCATAAAAAAAAAATATTTTGTGATGTACAATTCACAATATTTCATTATGTTAATTAAATCTTTATACCAGGGACACTGTCACACTAGGCCATGCCATGACGCCAAAACGATTAAGGGACAACGTCTGTATTGACACACATACTAATGAGTGGTTTAGTTTAATTTGTATAATTTGTTGCTTCATCTCATCTTTCAGTTTCTCTCTTTGCTAGATTACTTTAGAGTATCAGAAACCATGATTGCGCTATTTTTAAACACAATCCATTAAATTAAAAGGCCATTGTTGCCCCCCCCCTGCATGCACTAGTTGTAAAAAGCAAGAGGGATAGCTGCCCCTGACCCCCTCCGGCCTCCACACTCCACCGTTCCAACCAGTTTCTCGCAAAAATTTGGTATTTAGGAACCATGCCAGATTTTAAGCAATCGTTAGTCCCAATTAGTAATTGTGAATTCAAAGATGCGGGAGTGTGGATGGCATGATTTCCCGAATTTTGGGGAACACTTACCTTATCTTGGCGATGCAAAATTGTCAAGGCGATTAGTCCGCAAACAATTAATAGCGAAGCTACCCCAAGCTAAGTCGTGAAATTGTCAAAAAAGTGATTGGGTCGGTCAGTAAAACTAAAAAATGTGATCAAAATGGAGATCAGAAGTAATAGATATCGGCAATTTCAGAAGCGTCGAAAGCAGTTAGGAGCAGCAAAGTTATGAAAAAGCGCACCTTGACAACCACACGAGAGGAACTATAACCTTGTACTATAACTTGCAGATGCACAGAAGAACGCTTAAATTCAATTAAATGCGGAAAACAAGCATCGTAATGTAAGTGTAGTTTAGCTAAAAAGATCAAATGTTGAGTGTATGGTGCTATTTTTAGTGGTAAAGGGAACAGGACAGCCCCCGCTCGCCCCCGTGGTTCCGGCGCCCCTGGGGCAAATCGCGCTTGTCGTCATGCGAATGTCATGAAACGATCCGATCAATCATAGGAGATACTAGACTACCAGTCACGCCAGAATTACTACGGGATCCAATCAGCTCTGTTTTTACAATATTTAAAGCTTATTTGTTTCAAATAATCTACCTATAACCGCTGTAAAGGCAATTCAAATCGGGCGGCAATTTTAGCTAAAGACTTGCGTCATTTACAGTCCTATCGTAAAAATAATGACCTTATAGAAATTAACTTAAATTATTAAGTCATTAACCACGATCACCCTATATTTGATGTTTTATTTCTAACCTCATACAAAATTCTTTTGAAATATTAAATTGTCCAAATAATTCAGCATGCTGTAAAATTACACGCACGAAGCCTGTCACTTTTACTCACATTTGTATTCTTTATTTATTTTTCTCCACATTTAGGTTGTGCACAGCAGTAGCTCCAAACCACCATTGAGGCAAAATTTTTTTGTAAGAATACAGTTGTCTTAATTTCTAAAAAATAGTAACGCACTTTTAAGGTAACACACTTTTATTACAGTTTGTCTCGATACTTTTTTTTGGTAGGTCAAGTGATGCAAAATATTATATTTCAATTATATGGAAATAGATCAATATTATTAAATATTTTTAAAAATATATATTTATTTTAATGTTATGAGAAATATAACCTATAGGGCTATAACGCAGTAAATCGCATCGGCTCTACTCCGTTGTGATCAGGCATCTGTCATAGCTTACTAATAATACCACTTATAGTATGCCGCCTCGTACCCAGGCGCTTTAATAGTAAAAATAATGTTGCATTCAGTTATTGTATAGAGGTCAGCTGAAAAAAACGCGAGCGCGCGAGGGTGCTTGGGGTGGTTTTGCCAAATTTAGTATGCGCGTGCTGATCGGTCGAGAAGTGTGTTTCCATTTAACAATTAGAGGTGATTACAAGCTATACCCACTGAGCGGCAGGCAAGGCTAGGCGGGGCAACTCTCTATAACTGGCTAACCGGACGAGCCCGTCTTGCTTGGATGAAAATTGTCATGTAATTGCTTTCGTCCGGCGAATTTTAACCAGACTTGGATCATTTACACTAAATTATATTTTTGAAAATTGTGTTAAAAAGTAAAATCACCTATGGCAGCTCTGGGCCACCATAAATCGCGGGCTTCAGGAACGATATTGGAGTGTTAGGATACTAACCAAGCGCATGTTCATGGTTATCGCGAAAGACAATCTGACTAGAAATTACAACAAAGAAAATGTTTGTTTAAAAGACTACATGCTTTATTTTTCCATAATAGCTTATTTGCACAAAGAAAATATGCCCCAAAGCCAAAGGATCTATCGTAAAAAGTGATTGGATTCAAAACCAAAAAATATCAAAATGGAGATCGGGAGTAATAGAAATCAGCAAATTCAGAGGCGTCGAAAGCAGTTCAGCCTTAGGGCAGCGGAGACAGCTAGGGTTGTGAAAAAGGACACATTTACTTTAAGGGCCTGTTTATATGATCCCGCCTAGCCGGGACGGGACAGTTTCCGAGACCCCGCTTGTAATACAAGCACTAATTAGTGTTTATATGACCACTTTTTTATCCCGCCTAGGCGGGATCCCGCTTAGACGGGACGAGAAATTGCCATATAAACACTCCATCCCGCTTGGCCGATTAACATACATTAGAAGCATGTGTATATATTGGTATATTCGTTTTCTACAATAAAACATGCCGTCGAAGGAACCTGCACTAAAAAATGGACTCCATATAAACACGCCATCCCGCCTAGGCGAGTTTCCCGGCTAAGCGGGATGAAAACATCCCGTCCCGGCTAGACGGGATCATATAAACAGGCCCTAACTTAGCAACGACAAGTAGAGGACCTTAACTTACAAAAAAAATATTACCAGCAGACAATTTGATAAGACACAAGAAACAACATACTCCGAAAAATGACATATTGTAAAGCCTTTATATTTGCCTTTATTTCCTCGACAGAAAAAATCTCGGGCTTCAGAAACGAGATTGTAGTGTCAGTATAATCAGACTAACCAATACAATGTTCAAAGGATCTATCGTAAGAGGTTAAGAAAGGATTATTAGATACAGAAAATATCATAAATATAAAAACATAAATCTAAAGATATCGTAATCGCTGATAGAATACAACACACATACGTTATCATACGCATACGTCATTATACGGATCTAGCAAATCACAACTAACAACTAAACCATTTGTCCAAAAAATGAAAAATTAAAAGAATTTCTTTGGATGATTTCATAATTAACCTTAGTTTTGTTATAACAAACCGTTATAATATACTATTTTAGTTGTATTAGAGTATGGCCAGGCGGCAAAGCTGTTGACCCAATCCTTATATACGGATGGCTTTTGACCAACAATTTGTGTCTTTTTGTCATCGTTACAAAAAACAGTCACTACAAAAAACTAATTGATTAAAGCGATTTATACTATTGTCATTGAAATTTTTTTTCTCTTTCGAACCTATGCTTGTTGCCTGTTGTGGTTTTTATGAGAATACTCTATATCAACATCTCGGCCGACATTCTAAACATTAGAAACACGATAACAACCGTGCCTCTTCTGCTCAAAGCACCATTGACAAACGAATTGTTCACAAACCGTACATCTAAAATATGGAGTGCTATGACACAACTGACAAGGATCAAAAGAAGATACTTTCCTCTCGGTGTCTGGCTCGTCGGAGGCTCTGGGATCACCGTAAAAACGTTGTCCTGATTTCTCAATTCCAGTCTGCTCTCCAACTTTCTCTTCTCCGTGTTTTATGCGACTGGCTAACAAGTCCAAAACCCGTTCCGTCCCTTGAATTTTGTGATCCACATCTGTAGATAATGGATGTTTGGAGGTCACAGAGCGACGAATATTTTCATAAATGTGACTGCTATCTCTTTGCCCAATTCCTCCTCGAGAGACTACTTGTTCCCCGCAGTTCGAATTTAACGCATTTCTTAACATTTGTTCGCGGTTACCAGGCATGCTTGGCCAGGATCGCCATTCGTTCCTCTTCAAATGGTCAGATTCATTTAATACATTAGTTGGTGATGATACATCATGATCTTCACAACCATACAGTTCATGGTCGGGAATGTTTAGCTGGCGCTTGACAGACGTACTTAGCCTCGAAGCCTGTGTACTATCCCCCGAACAGTTAGATCCATTTGTTAAATTTGTTGGCGATACGGCAGGATTTCCATCGCCATAAAGTTGATCATCGGATAAATTTGCAGTGGTTATGACGAATAATCGCCACTCGCACGGTTGTTACGCTTAGCATCATGTAAACGTTGAAGTTTCACCTGGTCGCTTTTACCGAACCCACCTTTTTGACAGTTTGGTGGATATTTAATAAGAACGCCCATAACCTGGCCATTTTCGTCAAACGCATAGTTTCGTCAATAACAGTGACTGGCCTCATGTGTTCGTACAGCGTTTTATACGAATGGTCCTCATCTTTCGTCGCTATCTGGCGTATCAGCCATTCCTGTATGTCATTTAGATTACCTGTTGTGTTACTCCAACCCTCGAAAATATCTTGCATTGAGTATTTAGAACACAGATCTACGTTACCCTTGAAAGTACATAACTGATTATGAGCAAGGTATAGTTCGAACGCAATCACTAGTAATCGTTCACCATCAGTTGTTCCTATCGTCAAAGTATGGTTCGGTGTTTTCTGGTAGCCGATGAGGTTGAAAATTTTGTAGACGGTATCCAGAGATAACCATTGTTCAAAATTGTATTTGAAAAATCCTGTGTATACCTAAAACAACAGAAAACTTGCCAGTCAGATCATTGATGAAACAGCTGTGAAAAAAACAACAATAACGAGGGATTGGCACGAATGCCAATCTCTGTTTTATCTGTTTATGTGACCGTTATCTTATCTTATTTCGGCCCAAATATATATATATATATATATATATATATATATATATATATATATATATATATATATATATATATCCCCAGACTGCGTCTAGACTCATACACGCCTGAAAATATTGAAACAACATTCCTAACGATCATGTTTGAAGTGCAACATAACACTGTTCAAGTCTGCTTTCATTAGCATGGAACAACTTGAGCTTCAGTTGCAGGTCTTTCTGATTTGACACCGCGGAAATTGGTATAAGACCTAACCGCAATTCTCAATACTTAGGTTTCAAACTTGGTGAGAAAAAAGATTTATAAATACTCAACAAAAAATATGTCTGGCACAAAAGATTTGAAGCTTGCACACGGTAAAAACGAATCGTCTGAATTAATAACCTTGTGTATACTTTAAGCCTCAAAACGAACATTTCACAGCTGTCAGATGTGTATGATGAGCTGTCAAAAAAGTTATTCAATAGTTTTCTTTTTGACAGCGCTACAGATATGCAAAATTGTGAACCAGTTATTAGATTTTCGGTTTGAAGCCTCATAAACACCAATTTCTGCGGGGTTTTTTCTGATTCAGTTTTTGGTCCATTATTCCAGGTCTTCATCAATGTGATTAACTTTGAGTGAAAATATTCGGCAGCTATTTGTTAATTATATAAACGGTCTTGCAAAAGGGGAACTAGTGGTGGTAACGTTTTAACGTGGTAACATTTTTGTGGGGCAATTTTAACATACTCACCAACCGGAATGATTGGAGCATGCGGAATGATTGGAGCATGATTGGAGCATGATTGGAGTATGCAGAATGATTGGAGCATGATTGGAGTATGCAGAATGATTGGAGCATGATTGGAGTATGCAGAATGATTGGAGCATGATTGGAGTATGCAGAATGATTGGAGCATGATTGGAGTATGCAGAATGATTGGAGCATGATTGGGGTATGCGGAATGATTGGAGCATGATTGGAGTATGCAGAATGATTGGAGCATGATTGGAGCATGCAGAATGATTGGAGCATGATTGAAGCATGATTGAAGCATGATTGGAGCATGATTGGAGCATGTGGAATGATTGGAGCATCATTGGAGTATGCGGAATGATTGGAGCATGATTGGAGCATGCGGAATAATTGGAGCATGACTGGAGCATGATTGGAGCATGCGGAATGATTGGAGCATGATTGGAGTATGCAGAATGATTGGAGCATGATTGGAGCATGATTGGAGTGTGCAGAATGATTGGAGCAGGATTGGAGCATGATTGGAGTATGCGAAATGATTGGAGCATGATTGGAGCATGATTTGAGTATGCAGAATGATTGGAGCATGATTGGAGCATGATTGGAGCATGCGGAATGATTGGAGCATGATTGGAGTATGCGGAATGATTGGAGCATGATTGAAGCATGATTGAAGCATGATTGGAGCATGATTGGAGCATGATTGGAGCATGTGGAATGATTGGAGCATGATTGAAGCATGATTGGAGCATGATTGGAGTATGCGGAATGATTGGAGCATGATCGAAGCATGATTGAAGCATGATTGGAGCATGTGGAATGATTGGAGCATGATTGAAGCATGATTGGAGTATGATTGGAGCATGCAGAATGATTGAAGCATGATTGAAGCATGATTAAAGCATGATTGAAGCATGATTGGAGTATGATTGGAGTATGCAGAATGATTGGAGCATGATTGAAGCATGATTGAAGCATGATTGGAGCATGATTGGAGCATGTGGAATGATTGAAGCATGATTGGAGTATGCGGAATGATTGGAGCATGATTGGAGTATGCAGAATGATTGGAGCATGATTGAAGCATGATTGAAGCATGATTGGAGCATGATTGGAGCATGTGGAATGATTGGAGCATGATTGGAGCATGCGGAATGATTGGAGCACAAGTGCTGGAGGTATAATGATGGTGAGTGAAATTTTGGCACGAGAGGGCAAAGCCGGCTCCGGTTTACATGGTAAAGGACTCACAACATCATTGTTTGCCGTTGTGGAACAATGGTTGCTTACTAATTTGATGGATTTGGTATGTTTATTCAGTTCTCAGACATTAAAAATCTTCACAGCCTATTACCTACAAACTTTGACCTGTTCTAATAGCAATACAGTATCCTGTTAAGGGATGCTTTCAGTTTTGCAGCACCTAGTGAAGTCACCTTGACTGTAAAATAATTGCAGCAGTTCTGAATAAAACTACTTTAAAAGTTTAATAGCATGCACTTGATTAATAGCATGCACTTCACACATACCTTGATTGTTTTCAATTCCTTATGCCAAGGTTTATCCAAGATATTCACAGCATACTTTTCAAAAAGTCCAAAAACTTTGGCGAGATGTCGAAACTCCACATCTTTCCTTCCTTCTGTTTTGTCAAGGAAGTCCCTCTGTGCCGCTGTTATGGGCAGCAATGTAAAACAATCTGATATTTTGTTTTTAGAAAGAAAATTTGAGCACCTTGTACTGAATAGCTCTTTTTCCGTGCCGGCATTCCGTTCCAAAATCAAATGTTTGTATTGTGCTTTTAGTTCTTCACGAGACAGACTCATATTGTGCTCCTCACTACAAAAACAAAAACAATTTAGAATCAAGTCTGTTTTGTGTACATGGTATGTAAGTGAGGCCTCTCTGGTCTAAACAATAAAAATGTACTTTTCTTTTCATACTGGTTTTGAATCCCCCAATTTTGTTCTAAATACATTACCATAAATGTATGTGGAAGTGAATACAAGAAACATTATGATAGATCATTAATAGCCTTTCACACAAGGTGAAAGAGAAAATTAAACATACTAAAGCAAGTCTTGCAGTTTCAGTTTAATCTAGTTTCAGACATCTTTTTCATATGCAGGATGCATTAACAACAATAGATGATGAATTTCATCTGATTGTTCCTTATTTCGCTATGAAAATTCTTACACAGGTCACTGATGTACTTAAAGTCAGAACTCTTTCTTTCCACCTTCCGTGCTACAGTAAAACATGTTTTTACACACTGGTGGAACACACAATCTAATGCTATGAAAAGATGTGCTAATGACAATATATATGTTGTAAACTTGATAATGGATAAGGAATAATAAGGAATAAGGAAATGGTTTCCGCTCTGTTGTATCATGTTGTTACATATTTCACACACTGTTATGCAGTCCCAAGCAATACAACATACCATAGTATACGTAAATTTTTAAACTGAAACATTTATGTCACATGAATGGAGTATGAACACCATATTTACAAAGGTTCCTTCCATAATTAACACATGTCAATTTCTCAAAGCCATGGGGATGTCAAGAGTCATTTATATAGTTTGCAAACCTTGTTTAGGGAGTCTGAATCTTTTTACTGTATATCACCAACCGATTGTCAATAAAATGTGAGGTAATGAAATAATGAATACAAGGCCAGAACTTCATAGCACCTTATAGGTGAAAATACTAATATCTGCTAGCACATGTTTGTTGAGATGAAATATGTTTACCCAGAAATATCATGTGGCTGAACAGATGTTTTGAAGCAAGTTCCCAGGTAGAATTTGCATAATATGTATTTGGCTTTATTTGTAACTAGAATACTGTGGATCAGTTTTGAAACCAATCCAAGGCCAAGTATTTATCGAATATGGCAATTAAATCCATAACAGTGCTCAAACAAATTATTTAAGACAGTTAATTGAGCCAAAGGGCATATGCTATTGCGAAATTCTTCTTCGTATATCGGTTTATATATTGTCTGATTTCCAAGAAAAATATGTACTTCCACTTTCTTTTCAGTTAAGTAAAAATAGTATACTCTTTGTCGGATATTTGAAAATATTCTACTATTATATATTCTACCATTATAATATGTTTAAGCGTGTTGCATTGTTTTTATAAGTGTGCTGCAAATTACACGAAATGCACTCAAATAATACTTCCGGGGAGAACTACAATTTAGAATTTAGCAATTCTCGGAGGTTTATATGAACATATATTTCAACGAGGATCCTTATAAACTTGATTGAAAATACGTACCACAATACGTGAGTGAGGGGATAAAATATGTTAACCCAAAAACGATGAGACAGCTAAATTTATGTTGTGAGGTTTCTAATATGGACGACAAGCGCCAAGCTGGTACAAATAAATGTATAACGACATAATAATACACGTAGTCGGCTAGTCGTCACCGCTTTAGTATTCGCAAGAACGTTTCGTTTAAACACGGTTAAGACCAAAGAGTCATAGTGTGAAAGTTTTAGCTTTTGGTAGCTTCAAATTTACCGACAGGCGTGAAATATTATACGCATTATACGTTTACAACTTTCACAATCACAAGGAAGCCTGTTCGTGATTGCGAATATAGGGAAAAAATAGCCATAATTTCAACTTACCGAATTAAACATGTTCTGTGAAAGATTTCGATGTGTTGTCCACAAAGACTTTAATGAAATAAGATATCGGGGAAATATACTTAAAGGTTAAAGTGAAGTATCATCATGAATTCGCAGTATTTTGACTACATTTTAATTTTAGGTATTCGTAATTTCGTATTCATTTAAAGTTTTAAACAATGCTGGCGGCGTCGCGGTGCATTGTGGATAAACGGATAAACGATAGCCTCCTCTTCCCCCGCAGACATCACATTTTAATTTGGCATGTATGAAGCGACCCAAGTTTCAAGTTGTTGTGGTTCCGTTTGATTAAACTGGTGACAAAGCCAAACACTATGGTTCAGTGCCTTTTTTCAACTATACATTTAAAACATTTAAATTGCGGGAATAGCTTCTTAACTCCCCCCCCCCGTACCCTAGTAACAGCCTTACGTTCTCTTTAAGATCCCTTTTTAGTGTAACTACTCAAGCTATGGAATATCATGTTTCTAAATCATAGAAGAAAATGAGGAAATGCGAGCGTGTTAAAAAATCTCCGTGCGTCAAAATCACATTCTTTCAGCTCAGGAAAATACGTAAGTCAAACCTTTTGAAAACAAGCTTTGCTTTTGTGTAGCCCCTTTCGGACTTTAGTTAGGAAATTATGGCCCAAATTCGCCCAACAGGTTTGGGAATACAATACACTGGCACAATCAATATAAAGCGAAGATGGTTTAACTTAGTGTAAGTTCAACTTACGATACAACAACGTAACAACGCTTTGTTCAAAAAGTTTCACGAGACGACTGACGAATTCCTAGCTAAATTATGATGCTATGATTAACTCACCGAATATCGCTTTTACCTCTTCCTTTTATTTCGTCGCTGCACTTGAGAACATTCTATATTTACTGTCAATTTACGTTTGTCAAATTTTTAACCTGTGGCCATTTTCTCCCCCTCACTTTCCCAGGTCTGACGATCCCACATTCCCACTGACTGACAGAAGTCTAGACATCTAGATGTTTGACTATACAGTAATTCTGTCTGCCTTTGCTATACCAACGGGGACGATAAAAAAAACGGACACTAAGTCACTAACAGTTTTTCAAAAAACAGTTTATTGCAAAACTCTATATTCAATCTAAAAATCTTTGGCATCCATGCTATACATTAAGGTAAGTAGAGCTGATCATGTGATGATCTCCACTCATATATAAATTTGCCGTCCGCTTTACTAGTTTTCATACTGATATCCGTACAGTTAATTCAGTGCTTAAGACCGTAACGTGAACTATGTTCTTTTAACAATAGCAATTTTGAAAAATCTAAAGTACTCTGCGCTTATTAATCCAGGTAATCACGTGCTCATATTTCAACCAATCAATATTTTAATCGATCGTGCATCTTATTGTTACAACTTGTCCCAGTCCTTGCCCATCCTTTCAGATCACCTGGAATATACTATATCTATATATATACTATATAATGTCAATTTGGTACGTACGGTAAATATAAATTGTTCATTACTTTTGAGGAACTCTATCCTTCCATTTGAATGCAATTCTACTGTAAATTAATTCGTGTTTTCCTTTGCTGCTTGCGAATGTCATCTTGGAGTCCTCTGAAGCCTCCCAGCATCTCACCATAAATTTCCCATCTGGAGAAATGGAAACAACACATATACGATAACGTGGATCTGCCATTACTTTCTCCAGGGCTAAGGCGTAAGCTTTTTCACGACTGAGATCAATGGTCTTTTTATTAGCAAAGCTGCTGTTGATTAACTGAGCACTGTTGTCTGGAAGGAAACCATAGCCTATTTCATCGGGATCCTGAAATAAATAAAAGAAGAAAAAGTAAATTAATGCAATACATAAATCAATAGTATACAATAACTAAAAATATTATAATACAATAAAGTAAATAACAGTCAATAAGCGGTGTACAATATTACAGCGGCGTAGGAACCGGGGGATGGGACCAGGGGGCACGTGCCTCCAAAAATTTTCTAAGCGACCAAAAGTGCCCTTTTGTTATGAAAATTGCCTTTTGGGAGAAGCTAATGCAGCTGTAAATGCTATTTCAAAATCGAAGGTGTCCTTGTTTGTTTCCTACGTATGCCCACTTACACCTGCCCAAATCGTTTTGTAGAGCATAAATATGCACCACACTAGTGGTGTACTTGGAGCTTTGGCAATCAAGCCGTCCCTGTACATATTTTTAGCTGCGCTTTTTATTCACCAAAAGTACCCCTGGAAGCTGGTGCCCCCCAACTCTGGATGCTTCCTACGCCCCGGTAAAATCATTCATTTTATCCGTCAAAGATAAAAAAAATTTTGATTATGATACTTATTTATTACTTGCTTATTTGTTTTGACAATGACTTAAAACTTTTGACAGTAGAATCGAAATCTATACAAAAAAATGCCCAGGAAAAATTCCTTCGCTAAACAACAATTAATACGAACCTTTTTCAAATATTTCTCTGTTAGAGATTCGACATCTTTCCGGACAATCTTCGTCAACTGCTTACCAAGTCGTTCGCTTTCTTTTCGCCATCTTTCCTCCCTTTCCTCCCATGCATTTTGTACAGCGGTAGCTGCTTCTTGGAACTCAGATCCCAGATCCTTTATCAGTTCCCAGACCGGAATGTATGCCTTGCAACTACCGCGGTCGATTAAAGCCCACGTAGAATTATTGTGAAGTAGTTTGGTAAACGTTGCTGGTTCCGTTGTAGCTGGACCCATCGCTTGTGAAGAAAAGGTGTACGAGATTTTCTCATCTGTTGTTTTTTCAGCATCTTTCTTTCCCTCACCACTGCTATTGCTCGCGCTTGCCTCGATACCAACTGCTCCACCGATCAACCCAAATGATAATCGACCTTGTATCTGCTGTGCTGCTTTTTCTGTGAGGTCAAGGTGCTCATCTTATCAGTACTGTGTGCCTCAACAATCCGAAAAAGAATTCCACCAAGGGTGTGAAGACCCGATGGCAAATGACTTCCATAACGATTAAGAAAGCTCTTGGTGATTTCTTAACTGAGCAATTTCTTCTTCGGATTTTCTTGTCTTTCGGTTTCATGAATTTCGCTCGCCCTTCTTTTTCTTCTTCAGTTTCAGATTTTTCGTCATGGATAGCGTTGGCCAACATGATTACGTGTTTTCTGGCGCTTGGAGATAAAGTGTATTCTTCCTGATCAATCTTGAAAGTCTTCGTCGCCGTCCAAATGTACTGCACAACCGAGGCATGGCTTGTCGTTTTCTTTCCCAATTTTGCATTGGTTACCTCGTGACTACTTCCGTGGCTTCCAATAACTTCACCAACAAACGTCCCGTAAAATCCTCCGACCCCAAATCCAATATTTGTGCTGGAGGACTTCACTGTTTGAACATAATTCGCAGCGGAAGCGCTCTTGGAAAATTTAAGGTAGCAAATTTGGTGCGAATTGTTAGGGCTTGAAAGACTCACTTTCGAAGGCATGGATATCAGCGCTTTTTCGGCGGGAAAAGGAGCTCGATACTTCGAAAAGCAAATCCCACACAATGCACGGCCGCCACTTGCCTTTTGCACAACTTCATGATCACTTTTATACGGTTCGTCCGGTTTGATAGTGTTGCTGAATATATTTACTATCCCGTGTAACTCTTTCAGCAATTCGTCCGGAGTTTTGCCGGTTTCATTGCTATTCCAATCAGATGGGAGTTGAAGAAGTTTTGAAATTTCACCAATTTTTTCGTTAACTGCCTTTTTCGCGGCTTCAGTGTCGCCTTTCGCCATCTTCTTTGCTTCGATTATGAGACCTTTGGCTTCGTCCAATTTTTCCCAATCGACGGCCTTATTATTCCCGTCTGATTCATTAATTGCTTGTCGCTGTTCATGCGTTGATTTTTCAACAACTTCCGAATTGGCCATACCTATAATTTGAATAACGTCGTCCATATCGCGAGGACTTGCCCCGGAACAAACAGTTTGCAACTGAGTTATGGACATTCGAGCAAGTGTTCTTCTAGATGGGGCCTTTTCTAGTAACTTCTTCACCCATTCTTGCTGGACGTTTACTCCCACGAGAAGCAAGCCACCGAGAACTTCGAGTTTCGGACCCAACCTTCTTCTAACGGAATCAAGTCCATCTTGCTCGATAACTGTATTTGGCGTTTTGAACAAGTATTCGGCAAGTTCGTTTTTCGTGGTGAGATAATTCAAAACCAGGGAAAGACTTTCCATAACGAGACCATCTTTTTCCACCATTTGGCTCAGCTCCTGACTTAATCCTTTAGAGGAAGACGCTTTGAGTTCCGTCAACAATTTTTCCTTTCTGCCAATGTTCCTGATAGTGGAAATCTTTTGATGTATTTCTCGAATTTTCCCCTCAGAAGAGGTTGGCTCTAAAGGAAGCTCATTAATTTCTTGTTCAAGGGCATCGTTTTTAGCATCATCGACAACATCAGAATTTGGTTTCTTGTGAGACATTGCGTTCACCAAACGTGTCTGAAAGGAGGAATCTCGATACAGATTACTAAATCGGTTACTCGGTATGCTGTAAAATAAAATAACTGAATAAACAAATCGACTCACATCCATGGCATACCTTGGTGTTCTTATATTTATTTCTTAATTTCATTCATTTTTGGCCTCATATTGAAAATAGGAAAACTGAGAAAAGAACTGCTCCTAATTTACAAACTCTCTATTTTTACATTTTTATCACGCATAATCTATAACATAAAGCATTGAATAACAGATGAATGCGTACAGAGCACAGTTTTTTATGTAGTATTAACAAATAACAAGTTGACTGTTTAACAAAATGTTAACTAAGTACTTCTCGTCTTCACTTTCATACCCAACTAATGGACAAGTAACCCAACCCAAAGACTATAAAACGTGACAATTAAGTTCGATGATAGCTTGTGTAAAACGTCGGCAAATTGACTTTTTTATCAAATTAGTAGGCAGATTTGTTTAGCAATAACCTTACTACATATTTATATTGTTTTCCAAACCGAATAGTTCACTATAATCAGCTATGTATCTTATGAAATTAATATTTCACTAATAATATGACAGTAGGGGAGGGTGGTTTACTAATGCCATGTATAAGGTCAGTGTTTCTCTAACCAAATATGTGTGAAATTTTCTATAATAATGATAGTTTTTCCGTGAAAAACTATATCATTATTATAGAAGTATTTCA